CCTGCAGTGCTCCCCACACCTGTACACTGTCTGTGCCTTGATTGAGGCTTTGAAGTCTGAACCTGAGGAGCTTAGATACTGCCAACACGGAGCTCAGGAGTGGCTTGTGAGAGGGGGAAAGTAAAAGCACGAGGCAATGAAGCGCGTCTGCCGCATGAATGAGTTCTGCTATTGTGTATCGTTTGATGGCAAGTACTTGAAAAATCCGAGTATAAGAATCAAAAGCCTTTGTCACGTGCATTTTTTCAATGGGCTTTTAGCCTTATAATGTCGTTCCGCAGTTGTGCCCGTAGTTCGAAACTTCACCAATTGTTGAATAGTTAACGATAAGCCATGCTAGGTCATGCGTTCTGTACTTTGATCTATTCGGCATGACGAATTGCTTCGATTTTCCGCTAAAAAGCTTCCATTGATACGGAAAAGTGAGCTTAGTAAAAGTGGCTGTTTAAACTTCAGTTAGGATAAACCACAGCTGATCACAGATGTGGTGAGCTAACTATTATTGGCGATTATTTGCTTTTTCCTCACATATGGCAAAAAATCCATCTCGAATCGTACCTGAAGCTCTGACTGGTAGGATTTTTTGTCGACTTTGAAGTTTTTCGCTCCCACAAAATACCTCTCTAACAATAGTAATCACAGATAGTAATAACCGTAACAATATTATCTCGAACAGTAAACAATATCATTGGGTTCCAGCTTCATTATACAGCATCTGCCGTGTTATGCAATTTGAGAAAGGATAATTAAGTAGTCTTTTGATAAAGTAACTTCAAAATAATCATAATTCGCGAGTCATTAAATAGACAGGCTGTTTTGCTCGTCTATGTTAGCTACATTTAAATCGTCTTCCTCCGTGCGGTTTTTCGACGACTTCCGGTACAAGTTCACTCAAACCCAACAGCCTAAACTATTCTGAGAGCGAGAGAACAAGGAATCATAACTCGCACACGCCTGCAGCATCTACAACGACTACGTCGTTCAGTTGATTTTTTGTGCACCCTACTACACTGTTCGACAGAAACGTTCTTTCCGCTTGCGTAGTAACAGATCTATGTAGATACAGGCCCACGTCTGAGAATCTTTGAAAAGAGCCAACTTCCATGTGGTCTGTCTTTCTCGTCCGCTTATGTTTTGCGACGAAAGCTCCGCCCACAGACTGGCCAATCGGAGTACAGCGATTGGACCGCGCCGCACTGCGTGTCCCGGCTACGGAAGGGGGCACTGCTCGGAACGGAGTGGTTCGTTAGAAGAGGAAGAAGATTCGCAGGCCAGCTAGGAAATGGGTTTCTGCACAGCGTTAAAGAGACTACTGATGCTAACGCACTGTTGGTGCGGAAAGCAAAGTGTACAGAGGGATATCTTTGGGAAGGGCCACAACGGCCACAAGGGCATGGAAAACGACGGGGCAAAACACAGAGCAGACGAAAACGAACAAGAAATAGAAGCGGGAAAAGCAGACGACAGTTAGACAAAACGGAAAAGACGACGAGGAAGACGAACCAGCAAAATGCAATAGGCAGACTGAGCGGGAAGTGAAAGGCAAGAAGCTGAAACTATTCTTGGCACCGCTGCTACCCCCGTTGCGGAGCAAAGTCCTGCTCCAAAGCAAGCGGATGAGTGAACCAGAGCGAAGGAAACCCGATGTTGTTACCCTCCTTAGAGACCATTTCTGCTGCGTAGTAGTTGCCACCAGCACCTTATGGGCTGAAAGGCAAGGGGCCGAAAGGCCGATGGACATGAAGGAACCCGTCACAAGGCAAACTTGGCAAGGCAAAAGACGGCCGGTTGTTACGGGCGAAAGGCTCGACCCAATTCGGGCAGAGCAATGCGACACTGCCATTGGTACTGATGCTGTCGAGAAAGACACATTGAGCCGTGTGGGATTCAACTTAGGTGAAGGATTAGAATATTCTGTATATATGTATATGGCTGACGATGAGTGTCCAATGCTTAAAGATGTGATGCAACGCCGAGCTAACACACCAAGGAACAGGAAGCGCCGTTTTCGAAAACAAGTAAATATGCTATGGACTATACATAGTATTAGCCCTTGACATGGTCGCTTGTTTCAATGTACATGGGACAACCACGTTTTTAGAGATAGCAAAGTTAAAAATCAGGCCGAAAGAACGCTAGATATAGTGATGTAGCTTGTAATATTTCTAGCAAACAATCAAGCGAATCGTGTCGGCTGTCTCGTATCTTTCGTTACTCGATTAGCTAGCGTCATAAACGAAAAAGTAAACTTACGCTCTTGAATGAAAGCATTATAATTAGACAGGCAGATACCCAGACTGAGAGTCATATGCGCCTATGCGAAGCATATACCTTGCGAATAGGGGACGCCTTACTCATTTACATCGTCGGAAGTACTTGACCAGCAGATAGTTAAAAGGAACTGCTTAATGAAGCTCATCTAGCCGTTTCTTGACTGGGAATTGATTTCTGCATAGCATCTGCCTGCTGCTAACGTTAGCCTATATTATTTTCGAGACATGTTTATGTTACGAAGAGCCGAGAGTTAGATCTGTCACGTACTCCCGAAATGCCCTTGTTCTAACGCTAGCTGCTGGCTGCAAGCGAGTGTAGCTCTAGGTACAATTGATTTATCTGATGAGAACAGTCGGCGATCGTAAGGAAGGTATGAGGAACATACATACATATCGTTTCGTCTAAGTTACTAAGACGTGTATAAGGTACAAGGGGAACGAGTAAACCCCCACTAGCGAGCGAGACAAAGAGAATGCGCGGGACCGAGCGATTCAGACCAAATCCAGCAAATTATGATCCTCATCATCGTTCACCCCATGGACCCTCAGCCCCCGTATGCCTCCGCTTGCCAAAGCCCAGGCCGTTTCCCATACTATAGACATGTGTCCTTACTGTGCCTTCCCCTGCTACAAAATGCGATCGCAGGTAGTTGCTGTTGTAGTGCCATGAGGGGGTGAGCAAATTTGCTTGCCCACCAGTCGATAATGTTAAGCTTGTTAGATTTGCTGGCAAGAAAGACATGGACTTGTCATCGAGGCGGCCAATTCGATTACAGGGCTCCCCACCGGAGTACCCATAGGCTCTCCGTTTCCTCCACGCCTCCTGCTCGTTTTCCTCCGTCTTCCTCGCAGGAACACTCCTCGCTCCAGCAAACCTGGCGCCCAGGCCTGGTATTCCAACTTCCTTCTCTCTATTCGTCTCTCTCATTCCTCATTGCGCATGATTTTTGTACCTAACCTCTACCCCCACCACGTCTGTTCCCTTCCACTACCGCCGCTGATGGTGCACCAGCAGCATTCTATCGAATGTTGCCGAGTCTTGGTCCTCGTTTGTCCCGTTCGTTATTTCGCGAAGGCAGGGCGAACTCAAAGCTCGATATAAACACTTGCTTGTACACTGTGTGTGCGATGCTTCCAAACGTGGTGCGAAGTAAACGATTCATACATTTCAACAAATAGATATATAGATCAGATATCGGTAGTTATCATTTCTAATTGAGGTATATATATATATATATATCATGTTAACATCTAAGGGTGGGACAACGTCTAACTTTATTTATTACACATGTGGTAGCAGTAACGGGCATCTTGAATCATCTATCTTTAGACTTTTTTGCTTCAGTCAGTGACTGAGACAATATGGAGCATGGAAATACAGAATATATATTTGTGTATCGCGTTTACGTTCTTTATTTCTGCTTAACAACCTTTCAGCAATTATTGAAAATGATTCTGTTTTTTTCTAGCCTTTTATTAAATTCAAATAGAAACTTACGGCCTTATACGGCCCCGTAAGGTCTAGGTTCGAATCCGGGCATAGACACACTTTGTTTGGCGCTAGAAGCCAGCCGCGTGACGAAATGCTTGATGGCGACATCGGATACAAAACTCAAAAAATAAAGGCCTATACAGGGATCCTGATAGCTATAGCTTATGGGCAGTTTCTAGCTAATTATTGGACGCGCAACAAAATGTGTATGTGGTTAAATACAGTCAGCCACGCCACCGCCTACAGCCTAATGTCCACGTTTCTTAATTTCAGGCTTATCTCGCGGTTTCTTTCAAAAAACCGCAATTGGTCCTCTGTTACAAATTTGTTGAGTAACGAATCGAACTGACACCCGTGAATTTTCGTATTGTTCGGCTGATTAATATAGAGTTATTACAACCAAAGACTATACAGTATTACAGCAAGACGAGAAGCGCAGGCGTTAACCAAAGAATTGGTTACTAGCCCTCTGTATCCACTGAACTACGTATCCAGTTAGGACAAAGCTACTGCTTAGGCCTCGTTGTGCGGTTTCGATGGATTCGGTGGCTACTCAACCGCACCAATCGAGGAGGGGAAACAGGGACGTGGTAAAAGGATTCCGCCAGAAGAAGTCTTTCGTAGAGCGCGGACGTCGGGCAGCGCCTGATTAGGTTAGACCAAAGAGCAGCGACGCGGAAGATTCGCACCCTTTAGTTCCTGCGACGAGAGAAGCCTCTGTCCTCGGTCACAAACCGATGCACCCTTACAGTTCGTCTTTCCTCCTGTTTACCCCAGCTTTCGTTTGTCGCAGTCAATGGGAGCTGGGCACAGACCCAGGACAGGCCCACACGCCTAAGAGTGCTAACTAGAAGTCAGCGATGGACAATTGTTTAACTAATCGATAACTGTTTCCAATTTCAATGAAAACAAAAATAATTCAAGTATTTATATGTACATGCCACAGTTTATCAAAAAACGGAAAACATAGGTATGTTTGCCCAAGTGTATTTATGTCAACATGAATGTGTTTATTAAACGCATACGTTTTTAGGTTCACTTTTTTTTTTATAAAATCCTCTACCGGTTCTTTCTTTGGTCACTGAAGCTCCGCTGAGCGTTAGTGCTGCTAAATGGACAGCATGCTGGGAAACACGGCGTTGAAACTGGAAAATTCTATCTTTGAATGGTGCGAAAATACAACGCCTGAATGGCTACTACTTCAACGGATCTACCTATTTTCTACCGATCTATACCTTGCGTAGTCCTGTTTGCAGTAGACATTTCCATCTCTAAAGAAACACGTAGAGAATTTCTCCAGAAGACAATCACAGGTGCAGCACCTCAGACAATCAACGTGCCATGAAACATCGTTGACTCGAAGCTGTACTCGGTCCAGAATTAGTTGACCACATGCACCGCAGAGCGAGTCCTGCTCGGCCTGAAATGAACGGTAAAACAACAAACACATTACCACCGCGGGAGAAACAGTGACATGCCAGTATGACCTTCGTCATATGCTATTTAGGCAATATTTTCATTCGAAGCTATTCGGAAAGCACTTTCAATGTAATAGTTCGAATAGTATTATTTTAGTAGCAAGCCCACATTTACAATACATAGAGTTTCGAAATGTTTCGATGACAGATCAGCAGAAATTATTAAGCGCCTTATCTTAATGAAGCACTACAACAAAAAATAAGAGATCATTACCTAATAACACGCGGATTTTTTCAGATTCCGCAGTGCTAATTATGTACCATCAAGCTTATCTAGCATAGTATTACGTTTCCAGTTTTATGTGCGGTATCGCCGTTAGATATTCTATCCGACGGACGGCTGGCTCCCAGCGCAAAACGAAGTGTGTCTATGACCGAATTTGAACCTAGACCACAAGGTGGCAAATACGTTACTTGGGAAACTAGCACAAGGAGCTGATTAAGCGCACCTAACGGTCATCATCCAAATGATTGGCATCATTTGAAGCTGTTCGCTAGACGTTTTCACTATGTATAGCTTGTTGCAGTTCTGAAGTGTGTAGCTGGGGTCTACGACAATAGAGGAACTATGCGAAACCACACCTAAAAGGCATCCGACAGGGATTCGTTCCGCAACTCAAGAGAACTCTGAGTTGTCGTTGTTACATGCGTTTTTATTCAGTAATTGGAGTTGTTGCTCAATGGTACAATATTGTACAACCTGAAGAGTGGTTACGTTACCGCATTTGCTGGTTCCCTCTATGAAGTCTCTATGATGAGATAAATAGTAACCGCATCATCGTCAACATCTGGCATTACGCCACCGCGCACGAACCGTACCTAATGTTAACCATTTAAATCTGAGCTTATCCGTATTATGTGGTAAAGTTATAATGAAACATCTATGTATTGATTTGATAGTACGCTTGTTACCATCTGTCATGTTTTTACCCCCCGAAACCTATTCCAAGCCCTCCTTCATCTCAATAGGTACGTGCGTAAATAACGATGTTAAGAAGTGTATATCATATACCACTTTTCAATCTATTTACGTTTTGGAGAGAATTTTTGACAAGTGCATGAATTTATGTTATCTTTGTCTCAGATATAAATAATGCATGAACTCTCCCAATATTACTAAAAATATTAATTTTATTTTGTTATTTATACTAGAAGAACGCTTAAAACCATTGGGTGTGCTTCATCAGACAATAGTTGAAAGCCATCTCGCTATTCATTTGAACGCTAGGTCTTGTATAGATTACCTGAAGATGCGAAAATATAACCATAACTTTCTCTAGGCACTATATTTCAAATAGCCGCCACACCGATGCTATCTCTATCGCTGCCGTGTAGGATTATCTAGTTGTATTCGGATAATATACCTGAAATTCACCTTTAGACCTGATCCGTCGCTACGTTCCACAACAATCCTAATTTCTAACTGCTATTGCCATGGTAATCCGTTCATGGTCATGTTTGTTGCAACAGTTAATCCGCTCAAATAGGTAAATGTGAATAGATCCACACAACAAACTACTAATAGATCTGCAGAGAAAAAAGTATTTTCTAGTAATGGCCAGAACAAGTAGATCAAACACATGTGTGTGTATATATATACCTAATATGCAAGAATGATGCTGACCGACTCGAGGCAATTTCCTTTGTGCGCATCCGTTGCATTATTCAACTTCATCCTCCTAGTCGCTCGATCACGCGACGCGTCATCTGCGACTTCATGCTATATTCAAACAGTGTTGCTACTAACATAGGTCGCAGAAGTCGCAAAAGGTCCGGTCACGCCACCTTCTGTTGATTCAGAAAGCCCTACGTCCGCCCCAGCAGTTAGTGGTCTGCTAGTAGCCCAGACTACTCAACCTATCTATATAGATCACGGTCCACTGCTAAGACCGTCGGCAGCTAAAGAGAGAAAAAGGTGCGAGGCGATGCCATGCTAGATATTAGGATACATATGTACAACTTCAACGAACTCTCGCCACCTCAACCGCTTATCGGTGGACATCTCAAGATCAAGTTGCGCACAGTCGTACAACGAGCAAATGAAAGGCGAGCCCATTGATCTTGAGTGACTTCTGCTCCTTGTCTCGGTCCTATCCCCTGTTCTCTCTTTAGCAGGACTTCTGCGAGACAGAAGCCTTGGGTTAAGTGAAGTGTCGCTGCGAGGAAACGAAATTAAACTTTTGTCCTCGAAGCGGACTGCAAGCCTCTCGCTGGCTAGGGGGGTCAGAGCATACCGATATTGTCGACTACGTTGTTTCAAATTTAGTCACACGGCTTGCATATACATAGTGCCGTATGCATACGATATACGACGCATTTGTACTCATACAACATTGCACAGGTATCATTGCAAGTAAATAGTAGGTTGGATTCCTAAAACCTTCAAAGGCGGAGCCCCAAAGCGTGAGCCTGGAGGGCTTTCCAGCCTCTGTTTCGTTAAGTCTTCTCGTTTGTGCCCGCTGGCTAACTGTGGTGCAATGGAAGCAAGCACCAGAAGGTCGAGGTATCGAGTCGGTTGGGCAGCGTGTTGAGAGGTACTTGAGTGCGTTCTCTTGAAAACTTTCTTCCTTGTAGTTTCAGAACTTGATGCTCATACAAACCGCTTACGTCGAGGATAGCGGGGGTACTTTAAACAGGATCAAGCAAACCTTACTGGGGAGGCGGTTGTACGGGAAATGAAGCCAGATAGGTTGGTAGGTAAAAGGAAGAGCTGCAGAAACGAGACAGCTCAGGCTGTCTAACCTCGACTATGGATCGCACGCAGGCTGGTGGGCAATGGGCGAAGGCTGTACGCATCGGCTGATATCCTGTAACCGGATTTCAATTTGCACAGGTTTACCAGGGCGACACGGAGTTGCTACGCGAACGGCCTCAGATAGAGAAAAGCGCTACCCCGTTGTCAAGACGGCAAATCGCATCGGTCGTGAATGACAGAGGGAAAACAAGGATGGCGACAGATATATGCAAAAAACAGAAAAAACGTATCCTTCATTGTAAACGTCATTGCTGGCCGAACTGTTATGAAGATGTTTTGTGTCGTGGACGTTAATCTAGCTGAGAAACTGTGTCCATTTTTACTTTCCACAAATGCTAGATTAGCCATAAGTGAGAGAATATATTTATAAATTTATCAATATAAATGGTAAGCTGGTTTCGATTGAAGGAGCCTAAATGTCCTTAAGTTTAGCTAAATACCATTTTTTCCAGCTATAAAAATTTCTAAGCGTCAAGGTATTCCACAACAGATTTTGATAACGCGGTCAAAGTAGTACCGAAAGTGAAGAGTGTAGAGAAGTCCAGCCGTATGTTCCAGCCACATGGTGATTGCTGAGGCTTTTAAGCTACGTAGCCTTTCCTCTCAATGATCATTGTCATTTGCCTGCCTTTTAAAGTATTGCATAGGTAACTCTATGACTTAAACAAAATCTCAACTTATGCAACTCGAATTTATGTAGGTATCTCTTCACGAATTTATTGGCCATAGAACCTCAGAGATTGTATTGTGCCATTTTGATGCTATTGTTAGATGCTGGGGTACTGTATTTGTAATAACAAAGTGCAGTCGGTGCTTCACTTTGAGGTGCTTTGTCGAAGCGGCAGAAGGCGCGTCTATGGGAAGGTCATTGATATTCAGAGACAGAAACTGCGGCAAGAAAATAATAGTACTTTAGAGTCATCAGACTTTGCTTACGGCTTCTGTTGCTCTTATACTCAACCTCCATGTTTCTTCTTGAGAAGCGAAAGTGCAACTGTATCTTGTAGCCTTCCTCAGACTACCGTCATCCTTTGGTGAAGTCGTCGATGTTTGTGCCCCAGATAGTGGAGTGTCGAGTACAATGTCGTGTGTCTTTGGTAGCACCATCATGACAGCTTCTAGTACGACTGCTACTGCTGATTTAGCTTAACTAGAATACTACAACCACCATCTCCGCATATGGGTATTCGTGGGTTTGCCGGGGCTGCGGCCAAACACTACACAACGCTGAGACGAGGGGTGGCTAAAGGTGAGTATCTTGATGTGTGTATGCGTCTGTGTGAGCGGGCCGAGAAGAAGGCTAGGACATGGGCGGGTACATTGGGCCGCTTTGTCATTGCAACGCTGTCGATAATAACGATACCTACGATTACAGACAGGCTAGTAACCCAAAAGAGCGAGCGCGCTGTCGACCTAGACAAGAAGTACAACAAGAGAATAACGCAGGCAGAATAGAGCATGCTGGGGAGTCGTCCGCACGCTTTACAGGCGAGCCATTGTTCTGCATTCATAATCTGAGTTTTCCGAACCGTTCTGTCACCAGTAAACACTCTCGTTTGCTCGCCCTTCATCTATTCTATTTTTCTGTATTTAAATCTCCGAAGGAAAAATACGTATTTTAGAAAGTCTTAATGGTTTAATGGGCGACCAAGGTTTTTTTCCAGTTAGTTGGCCATGATAACTCCATCAAACGATGCGTGCTTTGTTCCAAGCGTTTCAAAATTACGTTCTTGGTTTTTCATCGTTCAAGATTTTCTGTGGGCCCGTGCGATTGCACGCAGCCACACGCAACAGTTCCGTGAGCTCTGTGATCTCGACAACTATAGAACATGCCCAAACCCACAAAAAGACTGATTTTAGGCTGGTAAATGCTTTCTGGTCGGGCTGCTTCGAGCTGCACCGACTGTACATAAACATCTGCGTGAGTAAGAAGAGTCGTTCATGATCTTGGATGCGAATTGCGGCCATCGTACGTAATTTTCAACATACTAAAAGTAATTCTATGTTCATCATTTTCTACGAGCATAACTCTACGTATAACGTAGTCACTTACGCAATCAGTTAATCTCACATTCTACTGTAGTTCCCAATTATACCATGCATCCGGTATCCACGAGTCGTTCTTAAACTTTTCGACATATCTCCTTGTGTTTAGCGTTCCTTTCCTTTTATTTGTAAGAGAGGGAT